ATTTAATACATTAGGGATCATATACGGAGCTACTTATTTGGGTTCTATGTGCTATGGTGCACCTGTATGGGCCGATAGGGCGACCGTAGGCGCTGTCCGTCGCAAACTGTTACAAGGCCAACGACTTGCACTGATATTCTTGTGTAAGGCATATAGGACGGTTAGCACTGAGGCTTTGCCGGTGTTGGCGGGTGTGCTTCCGTGGGGGTGCTTTCGATCTCGAGGTGCAGAGACGTGCAGCCATGTACTATTCAAGACAACAAAACATGGAATGCGATTTTTTGGGCCCGCGGGATCGCGGTAAAATTACAAGATTGCTTCAACAGTAGCCCGATGTCTATAACGACCTCATAGACGAATGGCAACAACGCTGGGATGAATCATCCAAGGGGCGCCATCTTTACCAATTCTTTCCATCTGTTCGCGAACGGTTGTCGAGGATATGGCTTGAGGTGGATCACTGTGTTGCTCAATTTCTTACGGGTTATGGTAACTTTAAGAGCAAGCTTTATTCATTTAAATTAGTCGAGTCACCATTGTGTCAATGCTCAACACCTAACTCTCACTATGATCAGTCTGCTCATCATATCCTCTGGGAATGTAGTCTTTGGTATAATGAACGTAATATAATGCTGAATAGCTTGCAGGTGACATCTGGGGCGGTATACTATGGGGATCTTGTGTCAACTAGGGTGAATTTCCGTGCGTTTAGGCGATTCTGCCATACATATTATAGAAATCAAACATAGCTTACGTAGGACCCGTAATATTTGTGGCCGTGGTGCTTCCCTGTTTAAAAGGGTGTATGCCCATTTTACTTCATTTTGTCTCCCGCTTAGCTAAGGAGGTAAGTGGATTTACTGTATTTCCAACTCCTCCAATTTTCTTCTGATTAATTTCGTTGCGGGTTCCAAGACAGTTTAATTTCTTCCTGGGACTTCCCGAGTGTCATAACTCGGTGTGTTCGTGGGTCACTGCTGTGGATCCTGGTGTACAGGAGTTACAGTGGTGGGCGTGTGGGTGGGATTAGTCCCATACAGGGTCTATCGGAAGTATTGGATATAGGATCGCGCGTGTAGCTAACTGAGTGGTAACTGAGTTAAAGCGTTAAATGAAAGTAAAAGTCAAAGAAATGCCGATATATTTAACACTACACAGATTTACACAGTAACCGTTCACATAAGAAACACGTACGAACGAACATATGTAGAATAGGTACAGAAGGTGAGAAAATACTAGATTATGGATTATATTTATAGATTATATTATAGATTAACAATTTTTAATAAGAGTGGTAGCGAAATGTTTCTAGTGTAATTCACGACTGGCTAGCGGCGGGAGCCGATGGAACGGAATCTATTCCTCGCTCGGTTCGCGGCCGCGGCGCGGCGAGTGCTACGTTCAGCCCTTTACCTTAGGAAAAACAAATGCGAAATATTATGACAGAGTATGTAACCGTGTCGGTTTATTCGACAACAATAAAAATAATATTTGACAATATTTTAATATTAGTTTAATCTTAACATGTAAATGACTGTTTCTTCCTCAATAAAATAAATAATAAATGTCGAAATCCTCTCTCATACTCTTACAAAAAGCATACATTCCGTCTCACGCTGAAATTTCTCGCTTCATCCTCATCATATTAATTTTACATCATCCCTTTAAGGTACCCTTGACTAAGGCCCGTGTGTTAGATTGTGTTACCCCTTTAAAATAAAAGGGAGACCAGAAAATTTATAAAAGATAATAATAATATCTCACACATCTCACACATGGCCCCCTGATCCCAAACTAGGCAGAACCTGTACTATAGTAACCAGACTGCTGATAAACATACTTATATATATTTAAATACATATTATAGAGAAATGACACCCAGACAAACAACAAATGACCGTGCTCATCGCACAATGTCCTGGGTGGGAATCGAACCCACGACCTCTGGCTTAGCAGTCAGGGTCACTTACCACTAGACCAACAGGCCCGTCAAGTCGTCTCCTCCTTCTTGAAACACCGGACATTCCGAGTGGTGGTGGAGGGGGAGCTATCCGCCCTCCGCGCCGTGGAAGCCAGCGTTCCCCAAGGGATCTGCCTATCGCCTGTGTTATACACGCGATATACCCGTCACCGAGGGGGCCGTGTTAGCGCTGTACGCCGACGACGCGGCGTACATAACAACGAGCCTCAACGCCGATCACGCCGCGATCAAAATGCAGCGCACCCTAGATCTCCTGCCCCCTGGCTATCGTAGTGTCAACTGTCGGTAAAGGTGAGGAAGACACAGGCGATAGCCTTCTCTGCAACCCAGAAACTCCCACCATCACTCCAACTACAGGACGAACCCATCCCGTATAGGAGCGCAGTGAAATATCTAGCGACAGCACCGTCGACCGCTATCGTCGCGTACGTCCGTAGCACCTTCGCGCGAGTATGGGCAACCCGCGCCCTACTACGTCCAATGTTCTCGTCCCACCTCCATCTGCGAGCCAAACTAGGTGTGCACAAACAGTAAGTACGCACACAGATCACCTACGCTGCACCATCGTGGTTGGCCCTCACGAGCGAGTCGATCCGCCTTCTGCTGGCTGCTGCTGCCGGCTCGAAGAATACCTTTAAAACTATGTTACAATCAGTTGTTACCAATACATCCATCCAAAAAAACAGACTTAATTGATTTACTTCGCAAAAATATTATTTCACCAGTTAATCATGACTATTACCAAAATTTGTTAGCATCTAATGATAATTCAATGATGATGATGATTACTAGTAGACAGGTAGAATTAGCTTTTTGGTCCCGAAAATTTCTTTTATTAAAGATTCAACTATCAGGAATCGAGTGTAATGAAAATTATAACAAAATATAAGCTAAGGTGGCAAAATAGATGTCAAAAATGGTAAAAAAACAAGTTTTTCGCATCTGGAGCGAAAACTAAAGCTTTAACAAAGCTCCAACGAGAGACTGGGATGTGGGTGACCTGTGTGTGCTTGTTTGCACCTGCGAGACATCTGCGACGCCCGGCTCCGGCTGAGCGACAATCCACCGGCTATCCGAACATCGCAACGCGAGCTCTCCTCGCGCTCCGCAGGCTCGAGCGCCACCGCGCTCGCCAGCGTCGAGTGTGGGAGCAAACGCCGCATACAGCTCTTGAGGTTGAGATCACCCCCGCGGCCCGCGGGTACCGTTGCCTACTTGGGCTAAGTAGGCGCACCGTGCGTGGGCGGGGAGGGCCGCCGCCACAGCAGGAGAAACACAACGAGGCACTCCGCAGACCGCGTTGCGGTGTGGGCTGCCCCAACACACTGTGGTAACTCTGCGCGTAAGTCGCCGCCTCTGTCGCTGATCGCTCGGAGCTGGGCCTCCCCAGGTATTGCCTGGGGTCTCAACTGGCTCGGGCTGATCACCAGGATGCGTGAAGACCGAAACAGTCCCCCACAGAACAACCAACACCGTCAAGGTAATCCCATGACCTACCCCTGTTTAGGGGCAGGGGTAGACACCGCTGGCAGGGAGCAAAAGCCCCGATCGAGCCACCACACGTAACCTGCGGGTCGGTGTGAAGACCAGCGCTAGTATACGGAACAGTATCGTTTTACGACACAGCGTATTAACATCGAAGTGAATTTCTAGTGCGACTAACGAGTTATATAGTGATTTCTTGTTTGTTATAGTGAGTGTTTGTAAATACAGTGCAATGAAAGTAATTAACCGACAACTTTTATTTATTACTAGCTGAGACCCGCGGTGTTACCCGCGTTTGTTGTTATAACCGCGGGCAACGCCGCGGGGCGAAGCTAGTCTAAAAAAGTAGCCTAAGTTACTCCTTATGTCATCAGCTATCTGCCAGTGAAAGTCCCGTCGAAATCGGTCCAGCCGTTCCAAATATTACCCGGAACAAACAGACAGACAGACAGACAGACAAAAATTGAAAAAAATGATATTTTGGCATATGTACCGTGTAAACATATATATGCATATGTACCGTGTAAACATACATATGCATTTAGTAAAAAGCGGTTATTTTAATATTACAAACAGACACTCCAATTTTATTTATTTGTATATAATAGATACTCGTATCTTGTAAAATTAACAATTATAAAAAACAATGTTTAAAGTTTACCATTTTTTTTAAAGAATACAAAGAATACTAGCAAGCTAAATGCTTGTGTTAGGAGTGGGTTCACGTCGGTAGTGCAATGGGTGGGGTTCGAACCCGCAACCACATGATCGCAAATTCGACACCTTAGCCTTAAAAAACTGATTGACCTTAAATCCAATGTGATTTCGAGAGGTTTTTAACATTAAGTATTGATTATTTGATTGCCTTTTCATTAAAAAATAAAAAAGTCAAATTGTTTTATTAATTTTTATTTTTTTGGCCTAACTGAGCGTTGAGAATATTAAGTCAAAATTATGTCAAAATATAATTATAATATTATTGTTTGTTTTAGTTATTTTTGAATATTTTTATAAAAATGTATTAGTAAAAAAAATGCAATACACTTATATTTCAAAATCAGCTTATGCTAAGTAAATCGCCCTAAGTGACACTGGCCTTTCTACGTTTCGACGCGTTTAAGATTTCCACTTAAGTACATAAGAAATCAAATTCACATCTTACTTATCATTATTCTCTAATTTGCAATACCATTAATAGCTAAATCAATTTATAAGACTACAGTACAATTATAAGAATTTACTCAACTATTTATTAGTCAATATTCACAAAAATAAACGCTTAATGCCGAATGAATCAATGCATTTCGCGAAAGAAGAGTTGCATAGATAAACTAAACAACGTATTTTGATTAATATACGAGTAATTACATGAGATAAATGTATAGCATTATTACTATGCTAAGCGTATACATTAATGTGAGAGTGTTCCGTATTTAAGATTATCAACAAATAGTCGTCTTCTTTCACGGATTGCATTTAGTAACTTTTTTGGCATTTTCACTCCATGAATACTAAGAGCAAAAAGAGTTACACATTATTCGTTTTCTGTATATTCTTTGTTTTCCAAGTTTTCTTTATTTTCTGAAGCGTTCCTCTTACAGCGGGCTTTCCACATTTTGCATTCGTCTGCACATTTAATTGTAATGATGTTCCTGTAAAATGTTAATTATGAAAATGTGGTATGTATCTAAAGTGAATGGTCATAAAAGGAGTCGCACGCACACATTAGATATAACCAGAATCCAGATAATAAAAACCTATAATACGAAAGTAAAATGTTTATGGGACAAATGCATGTGTACACAACACTAGATATAAAAGCATGTTAAAAAGAAAACTACTACATATCTGGGGCTGATCATCGATAGTAAATTTAACTGGCTACCTCAAGTCAACCGAGTTTGTGATCAGTTAAAAGCGTTCCTAGCCAACCTATATATTATAAAAAATAGAATAACTTTCAGGGTAAAGATTTTGCTTTATAACGCCCTCCTCGACTCTATTATAGGATATGGTATTACAAGCTACGGCAGAACCTTTAAATCTTATCTCAATCGTATCTATGAACTACAGACCAGAAGTTTAAAAAATATTGTCTCACTGAATAAAAAAGAACAATTTAGAGAAAGAGAAATGGAATTATATAAATACTGCAAGACACTTCCTATCCATATAAAGGTCACTTTTGGCATACTTAAAGAACACTTTTTCAATGGCTCCATACAGAATGAAATTTCTCATAACATTCAAACTCGTCAAAAAATCAATAAAAGACTGGAGACAGTCCGTGCAGTGAATGTTTACGGTGAAAGAACCATTAAGTATATTATTCCCCGCTTAATAAATAACTTAAATCCTTCCTTTACACAAAGAATAACAAAAGAAAATCTAAAACAAAAATTAAAAACACATTTCGTGAACAGCCTATAGATTCCCTGTGCGAAACCTGTTTCACTGACTGCAAGTGTCCGCCCGCTCGTCAATACTATTTTTTATTTTATTTTTTTTGTATCCTACCCTAAACTTAATACTTTTAAGTCAATGTTATTGATCAATTGCTAATGTTATTCACTTAATAATTGTTAAGTACTAGATTGATTTTGCATATTGTGGCATGCCGCATAAACCCCGTGGTTTAATGTTTGCCTACATTTACCTAATTGTGTAGTTATGTAAATAAATAAATAAATAAAAAATAAAAAAACTTATACGTTTCTTATTATTGAATTCTCGGTCGTAACGCCCATTTGAATGCGATGCTTAAATTCATTACACATTTTTATATAGTGTGACATCAATTAATATTAATAAAACTGTTGTTGAGTTGTATTGTACGCATAAATAATAAGGTAAGTATTCGTTTTATTTTTACTTGTACCTAATACTGTTTTATCTCAATGGCAATTATTACAGTCTATCTAATCTAAGATGACCTAATCATATAATCTGTCGCGACTGTCAAAACAGTTCCAACAGATTGATGAATAAAGAGAAGGTCAATGAAATCCGATATCCGATTCTTAAGAGTAATCGAAATCATTTCTTTATGTTTAAAAATCGTTTACGGTTTTACAGATTTATGTATGTTAGTGTAAAAAGCCCGTATATTATTTTATATTTTGTTTAAGACAAGTAAATAACACAAGGTCCAGTTTCAGGCACATATGAGTGTCCACAATGGGAATGATAATTGGTAAAATAGGTTGAACTTACAACTTGCCCCTAATTTTATGGTGGCTAACACATCATATAATAGAAAACAGTTGTCCTTAATAACATTTCTCTGAACACTAATTTGTAGCATCTATAATTGACTCTGATTACGATTATAAAGACATAGATATTGATGAAGTTCATTAGATTGAAAATTTGCCTATTTTTTAACACATCACATATTTTATAAAAAATAAGTTCGACAATGTCCAATTTCTTTTTTAATATTCATGATCAGTGTCATGTAGACGCCAAAGGACACGTTTTTAGAGAAATATCATCAAGGGCGATAATTGCTTGCAACTGTTTCTTGAATTCATGTGTTGACATATTAAGGAAAACTATGTGCAAACAATTTCTGCCGTAAAGTGAATCTGTCGTAAAGCTAATCTGTCTTAAAGCGAATCTGTCCTAAAGCGAACAAGGACACAAAACTTATTATATTAATGGAAATAAATAAACTGATTATACTTTTAGTGTTGGAAAATGGCAGATTAATTAATAAGTTCGATTATTCCTACATTGTAACGATTATTCGTATATAAGTCAATTTGAAGAGTCGCAACACAACGGTAAAAGACCTAACTACTAGTGATGGAATAATTAGTCTCTACACTCATATTTCATTGTGAATTCTTAATTAGCAGTTAGCAAATTAATTGAAGTCGTGAAATGTTGAAATTTCGTGAACCTATGAATTAATACGTACACATCACACTCTTACTTAAATTACCTACTCTATAATAAAAAAATAAAATATTAGGGAATTTAAAATTCAATGAATGATATTAAAAATATATTTGTACCCCCCAAAGGTTGCAAAATGAGTTGAAAATTTATATGCAACTTCGTTACTTTTAGTAGTAGCGTTTTCAAACTCACAGTAAATACCTACTCTTTATTAAAAGTTCTAAAAAACGTTGTTACTAATTTTCAAAACTACCCTTAACAAGAGGTGTACATATGTATGGTATATAACACGTGGTATACTTACATATATCTACACTTTTTTTTGTGCGGAATCCCCTCGGATACCACCTACTCGATTCGAACTAACTAAAAAAACCGCACGCCGTCTCAAGTGCCAGTAGCCGGGGAACCAGGTGTGCCCTAGAAAAGAAATCCTCAGTGACCCCGACGTACCTCGGGCCTGGTACCTGAGGCCCATTATAGAACAAGATTTTGGATTTGTGCAAGGCTGCTCAGCCGTTGGATCTGCTCCACGACTTGGGCAACTCCAGTCGTGGCCCTTAAAGTTGCCTCAGGGTGCGACTTGCCTTCACGAGCGTGTCGTCCGCGTAGCACGTGACAGCGACACCAACTTATATTTGAACTGCAAATATTTAATTAGTTACCTGACAAAATTTTCGCGAACTTTGAATCTGTTTACAACTTCCATGATTACAGCCGAAATTTTATTTTGATCCAAACACACCTTAGCTGGCTTGTTTCGGAATGCTGGTGAGGGTTTGCCGGTCAGCGAGTGCGTCGCCAGAACCCTGGAAACCATAATATTACATTACACATCGTATCGTAACTATAACATACTAGCTAAGCGCACCCTGCCACGCTTTTCTGTTGCGCATTGTGGTTGCATTTATGAAAAATGAAGAAGAAAACTAATGCGAAAGGACATAAAAAACAAACTGATGTGGTTTGAATATTGTGTTAAAATTTGAGCTCAATCGGTTTAGAAGTTTTTAAGTTTTTGTAGCGTACACTTAACATTTTTATAAATATATAATAATATAATTATTGTACAGGTTATCATCATCATCATCAACAGCGTTTAATAGTCCACCCTTGGACATAGACCTCTCCTTAGAAAGGAGGTTTTGATCTACGCTGGCCAGACGGGTTGGTAAAGGGCTTTTTTCAAGTTTTCCTTCTCTTTGCATTCTGCGTAGTTTGTTCCTTTAGACGGCTCTTACGAGTCCCACGGGATGAATAGAGGTGGTGTGGTGACACTCACCATCATAACCAACAGTCCACTGCTGGACATAGGCCCCTCCTTAAAACAAGAGAGGCCTATGTGGTGACACTACGTATTCTTAATCCGTCACCACACGGACGGTGATGATACAGGTACATAAAATAAAACTAATATAAATTTCAATCGCATCAAAAACTCAACCCGGATTGGTGAAGGGATTGCATGAGTTTGTGCCGACTTCCACATATGGTGAAGCGAAGAAACAACAGCTCCATCTAAAGAAGACACACTGAACTACGGAGTAACTGCTAATCTTGTATCGCGCTATTAACAATTCTCTCGCCGATTATCATATATATACAACTTCCCAACATCATTGGTTAGGTCGCGGCCCGCCAGGCATGATCACCTCGCCTGGTCGGAGGATCCTCTATTTGTGGTGGTGACCCCGACGTAATTGGAAGCAGCCTTCAATAGAAGCAGATCAGCAGAAGCAAACTCCTACAACCATGAGCTCCACAGAAGTGACGATGAGCGGTAATCTCCACACAGGTGGTTTGAAAAGGTTCCAAACTCAACACGAAGATGGCAGCACTGTTTTTTCGGCTTGGAAAGTGATGGCGACTATTTTTTGGGATAATCATAGAGTTATTTTAATCGATTTTACTACGCATCATTACTTGACAAGCTGAAGGCAGAACTTGAGGAAATACGGCCACATTTGCAGAAAAAGAAAATCCTGTTTCACCAAGACAACGCACCGTCTCACACCTCAGCGGTTGCCATGGCGAAAATCCACGAATTACAGTTTGAACTGCTTGATCTGCCTTACTCACTAGATCTAGCCCCAAGCGAAAAATTGCGCTTGGAGGACGGAGATTTTCGACAAATGAAGAGGCAATCATCTTTGTGTACAATTATTATGTAGAGAAAAACTAAGTACTATTTGGACGGGTTACAGAGATGGGAGCATCGCTAGGAGAAGTGTGAAGAGTAACAAGGAGACTATGTTGAGAAATAAAAAAAAACTGAAAAAAGGTCTTGTAGCTTTATAAGGTCGGAACTTTTCAGACCACCTCGTAGATGACGCCATGACAGAAAACTAAATAAGGCAAGAGCACTTACTTTCTGGGAAATAAAGCCACCAGCAATGATCTTGTCGCAGTAGTATACGACTTCCAGTTAATTTTTTTGTATTGGTCTTTATGTATCATTGTCTTGCCAAAGCCGATTGGAACCTGCAAATGCAATTGAATTTTAAAACTTCAAACAGGTAAACATTTCATATCCATTTCGAAAATTTGGAATTTAAAAGTATTTCCAAATTACCGCTATGATATTTTGTATTGAAAGCTAGAACAATATTGTGACCTGAGACTACTATTTTCAATGTTTATTTAAATGGTCCTTAAAATCACACATGAAATATAACATTTTTACAAAGATTTTAATTGTAATTACTTATTTTACCCGTTAATTTATATCACTTTTATATTCTTAAGTCTACAGATCTACTAATACTATAGAAGTGTAAGTACAGCATATTAACGAAAAATTACCCATTCTTGTTCCATTTCCTCATTCTCCTGCGTCGTCTGCCCACTAACTGTGTTATACTTATAAGTTATAAGAACGTTATCGTCCGATCTATTGAACTCCTCATTCTCACTGATGTTATTGTCATTCTGCTTGGATTCATTCAAAGACTGATTCGACGGCCTGGATGAACCTTGTAATCCATCATGAGTCGTGAAATTAGGCCCGACGGGTACAGCCTGTCCTGCAGAGGCAAGGTTCACTGTAGACTGCAACGGCATTTTGCAATAACCGAGGGCTAATTTCAGTTGTTTAATCAGTTCCAACAACTCAATAAATGTATCGTCTAGTCGATGAAACTTTTGAATCGTGTCTCGTAAATTAATGGTATTATTGATTGTTGAGTTTGATTTGTTCTGGCTTTGATTAGGTTCGAGTCGGTCACTTTGAATACTTATGGGAACCGCAGAAACAGCGGCAGCTTTGTTGGAAGGAGTGATGATGGTACTATTCGATCTGGAATACGGGCGCTTGTAACGTTCCAATTTAACTTTTTTCGCCTTCGTCTGTAAAGGTTATTAAATATAATATTATAATAAAAGTACTCTTACTATTAATTATTGTGAAATCTTATTAAAAAATTTATCTCACTATAAAATACAATCTAATACAGCACTGCAAAGAGAAGGAAAACTTGAAACAAACCCTATACCAACTCGTCTGGCCAGCGTAGTAAAGTAGGGCAAAACCTATTTTTAAGGTTAAAGGCGATCCAGTCGGAAACGAGCTGATTTCAGAAAAGTAGGTTAGGTTATTAATAAATTATAGTTTAAAAAACTAAAAAGTAGAAAAGTTCTAAAATAAAAATCATTTTATCTTAAAAATGCGTGGGGTGCTCGATCTCAATTTTCGAATATATTAGGTCTTTACCTATGAAATTGCCGAAAATTTTGTATGCAATAAGTGAAAGTACTTATTTTTTCAAACTTTTTTATTTTTGTTATTCGAAGCAATCACCCATGCAATCGACGCATCTTTGCCAACATATTGGCAGTTTATTGATGCCCTTCTTGTAAAAATCAGCTGGACGGGAGGCAACAAACTCTTCAAAGGCATTTTGCACTGCCTCTCGGGAATTGAATTTTGTACCCAATAAAAAGTTGTCTAAATTTTGGAAAAAGTAATAGTCGGTAGTACCGGTAGTGCCGATTTCTTAAATCATTGTAATAACAATGAAAAGAACTTGATCAGAAATAAAATTCATAATCCATTCACCGGGGGGTTTCCAAACGGCGATTTTCACACGGAAAAAAATGTGGCTTCATTAGCAAAAAAATTAATTTTTCTTGGTGGGAATCGAACCCACGACCTTAGCAGTCAGGATCACTCACCACTAGGCCAACACGCCCGTCGATCAAGCCGATCAGGAGGCGCAGCGACGTCCTCGCAGACGTGATCTACATAGTTTCTATATTTACTCATGATTAGTTACAAGATATCTTTGCTAGCCTGTGGCAGATATGGTGACTCAAAAGGGGTGGAGTGATTTGAACATTTTTTGCAGAAATATAAGGAAAGATCGTTAATTGATATTTTATGGTACGAGTACAGGTATGTAGGGGGTGATTTGTAACTACTAGTTATGACTACAGTCATCAATATTTGTGTTATATTCTACATACCGTTAGCCATAAGTTTCTTATAAAGACGAGCAAACATCCAATTGTAAAGAAATGTAGTTGTTTAATATTGTACAAGCAAAAAATTGTCGCTATAACACAGGTCCTATCATAACACTTAAGAAAATCTTTGTTCAAGTTCATTGCAGTTGTTGACGTTTTATATCGACTGCACTCCTTTATTTATTAGCAGGTATTAAAATGTGTCATTGAATAGTGCCATTGTATCTACCTGTGAATTGCAAAAGAGTGGCCATGAGTTTGTTTGCCCTTTCTTCTCATAAGGCTCAACCCCTTGGAAACCGGCGGTTGTAGATCGGCACAGGCATATCATAGATTTTGTATGGGTTTGATTTTTGTTAAATTTATTTGGTTACTATTTGACAAAACAGAGATTGTTGCTTTTGTGTGTGTTGATCTATGACTTTAGAGTCTACATGGAAGACGATTTCAAACAATTTTGGAAATTTTATGAAATAAAGAAAGTTTGAGTTTGTCACGATCGCGGGTGTATTTCTCAGATTTGGCTTAATTTATTGCAGTTAAGTACCTTGTGTGTACTTTTACGTACCTTTCCTGAAAATCTCTGTATCCTCGTAATGAAATTAAAAAATTGTGGGTTTAGTCATCAGGGTCATAAGGGAGTACCGCACGATATCCTTTGAGGTGACGAGTCTCCTGGCCGGAACTCTACTGTGGCACCTGGAGGCGAAAGTCCTTGTGGCTCTGTATCAGTAGCGGAATGAGGCGCGGGAGTTGGGCTCAAGTCCTGAGTCGTGTACCCGCAGTATTAAATAAATATTTAAAAAAAACTTTTTCTTTCTATGACATTGTTCCTGTTTTATATAAAACCTAATTTATAAACATCATTATTCTTGCGTCGGTACACAGAGTAAAGTGCCGTATTACTGCATTTATGACCGTTGACTGAACCAAATAACTGCAATAAGTTTAGTTCAATCTGAAAAATACACGCGCGATCCTGACACACATAAAGAATTAAACCACGAATTTGATAGTGTTTATAGTTACAATGGCAAGATGCTTACTTTTTAAGTAACAAGTTTTAAGAAAGGATCCTGTAAATTAGTATGTTTACTTTTTATTAATGTAGGTAATCTTTTCAAACAATTTTTTTTGTTTACCTTTGCACTTGAAATGTAGGGTTCCCATTCTGAAGAGCTGGACGTGAAGCCATCTCCATTTTCATCGCCCTTATTTTGATACTTCGGCCCGGCCATGATTTCTTTTTTTGCGATGCTCGTATTAAATGCTTTAATTGCTTTGCGCTTGCCTGCATATTAAACAAGAATATTTAGATAGGTTTTTATGACTACCTACATAAATAAAAAAGTTAGGAGTTTAGTATTTCGTAATAACAAGTTCGACGGCTGCGTGCTGACGATTGGTGGTCCTGAGCCAGTAATCAGCAAAGATACTCGTGTATAACACTCACACTGATGTATCACTAACTCCAAATGTAACACTTTCTTTTATTATAATTATAATATAATATAATTATTTTTAGTATTTACTATTCTCTGTATCTAAACGTGTCGGCGCTGCTCTTTGGTTCATGAGCGAGTGAGACTAAAGAAAAATGAGTGAGATAGATGACGTTGTGGGGCCGGCTGACGAGAATGACCGTTGAATTCACGCTAATTTTGTTACGATAGGAAAACTTTGATGTACCTACATTATTTCTATACTCAGAAATTATAACATTACTTATGTATTATTTGGGCTTATGTATGTAGGGCCTCGTGGCTAAGTGGCAATCGAGCAGGTTAACACATTACAAAGTTAAGCAATCCTAGCCAGTTTAGTCTAAGGATGGATGACCATTCTTAACACATTGAGACCCCTCTGTGCCTCAGAGTGCACGTTAAGCCGTCGGTCCCGGTTACCATACGATCATATGTGTCTATCGTTATGGGTTGTTTGAGCCCTAAAAATTCTGACAACAGTCTTTCTACATCGCCTAATAGTTGTGGAGGTCGCAGGCATACCATGACGTTTTATTAAATTGTTCCATTACAGAGCAATTCAATACAAGTGCCTATACTGAATGGCTTTACTTCGTACCATGGCATGCTTTAAACTGCACCGCATTTGAATCAGTAATAATATTTTAAAATATATGGAAAATCCGACATTTACAAAAATATCAACAGTTCTAAAAACAAGTACAATTTGTAGTGGAGAAAACAGGACCGTGTCGACCGAAACGGGATTTTCAGACGTAACCTACACCCAACTTCCGGCCCTTGTTTCAGTTTCGGCCGAAACCGAAACTCAAAATATGATTTTAAAATTACAATTTTATATTTAAATAAACAAATTTTTGTATACCTATACAAAAATTTATAAGGTGTTTTATTTTGTATTGTTTTTTTAATCCCGTCTATGCCCAGTGAAGTACAAATTTAACTACACACATACAAAATATAGCAGTAAATTTATACTAAATATACGTAAAAAATAAGATTACACATCTTTTAATTACAAAAGTTGGTCCCGCCATTATGAGCTGAGCATTCCACGCATGTGCCTTTGGGCACTAATTTGGACAATAAGCTGGTCAAATTGAATTGAGACAAAAGAAAAATGGCACATTTATTCTTTTCAAAATTCGACGTCTTTTTCAATGAACTGTATGAAAACTGGTTTACTTTATGGCACCTACTAACCAAAAAGGCATTTTGGCATCTTGTGACACGGAACTGGCCTTGTAATTTGATAAAAATATTTTTAATAATAGTAATTTTTTAATTATTTTTTTGTTGTAGAATATCAGGTGAATTTTATTATTTTCTAGTACTAGCTGCGGTCCTACTTCAGCAGCAACTAATGAGATTTACTTTTAATCTAACGTGTCATTCCCAATCAAACCATCTGATGTAGCCAATAAATGGGTATTGTGTACCAATAAAAAGTTCACATTCATCAAATTGATGTGGGATTTCTTGCTAAATTTGTTGTAAGGTTTGATTTTCATTTGCAATCCCATGAGCTAACCGAGATTACTTGCGACAAATTCTTTTTATACAAAATTGATTCATGTTGAAAGAACAATGTTTACATCACTATCAATTGTCTATGACAATATATTAAAAAGGGTAATTGTTACTCTTTGGTTGCGCAGCTCTGCTCTATGATGATGTTTGAATTTGTGTAAAATAAATAAATAATTTTTGTCTCCTCTAAGGGTCGTTTCTGCTTCTACCGACCATTTTCGTGCTGCAGGTCGTAATTGGTATCTCGAAATTTATGTATTTTTTACTAGAGATGAATCTAGACTGTATAGAAGCAGTTTTGACTCTTAATTTTATCAATTTATTTCTTAGAAGTAGGATTCAAAAATACTTCATTGACAATCTTATGAATTGTTTTAGGCACTCCTAATTATTGTGGCATTTAGAGCATGCCATACTCTCTTAAACTTACCATACATCATAATCTTGGATAAGGATTAGAATCGGGACTAAATAACGTCCAGTCTTCAGTTCTGATAGAGTCAGAAACGGTTGTTTCCAACCACAAGTGTGCTGATCGATCTCGGTACTGAGTTTTGCTTGCTGAAAGGAATATTCTTGGCTATAGAACATGGTGTTGTTAAGAGGTTTAACTAAATTCTCAACAATCGTATCTTGATACACTTGTGCTGATGTTTCAACACTTTTACCAAAAATATGTCTCAGTTACTTCTTCATAGCTAACACACCACCAGTCAGCCATAAACCATTACTGAAGTGGGATAATGCCCACATTGTACTCGGCTTACTAATTGGGCAGTTTGTTTAGAACTTTATTAGAAACTTGGTTATTCTGCTAGTTAAAATATTTATTTCAACTTAATGTACATGTTGTTCTAAAGCGGACTTTATGTCATAAGGCATTCTCTCCCAGTCAACCTTCATGATGATGTAAATACGGTCGGTACGTGCAAAAATAAATATTGAATTTGACATAGTTCATAAAAAATACTTTTATATAAAAGGTAACAATAGATATAACTAATATTCGTATACATAAATGCACTGCTGCATATTATATTAACATAAAAGTCCAGAAATATACAAAAACATACACAATATATAAACGCATATAAATTTAATATTACGGGTTAAAGTATGCAATTGAAGATTTGTACTGAAAAATTAAAGAACGTAGAAAAATGACCAAATCACGAAAAAAATGTAGTCCGTTGGAGCAAGGTCTGGCGAGTACGGAGGATGACGTATTCCGCGTATGGTTTCTAACTGCAGCTCTTGTAGAGTTACAACTGTTTCTCGTGACCCGAGGTACGTAAGGGGACCAGGGCTTTCCTTTCTAGGGTATAGGTACCTGGTTCCCCGGCTACTTGTACCTGGAGACGGCGTGCGGTATTTGGTCGGTTCGAGCCCAACATAACCACCCCACTAGGTGGTATCCGAGGGGGAGAGCACGGGAAAAAAAAAGGTAAAACATGGTAGAAGCATAGAAATTGAAAATATGATTTTATGAAAACTATAGTATATTTAGAATGTTAAATACTATATAAAATACATTAGAAGATTATACCTATTATAAGTAATAATGATACTAACACACATGTTTGTTTTTTTTTCTATGTACAATACTCGTATGTTCATATTAGCGGATTTATTTAGCGCTTTAAGTCACAGTACTTATTCTTTTTTTAAATTTCCTCCACCTTCGGTACGCTCAGCTGGTGATCTTCTCGTCTTCCTAACATTGGTGGGCACAGGCGATCGAGACCAAAGGAGAGGCTTGTGCGGTTAGTTTGGACATAGCGAAGGCCTTCGATCCCGTCTGGCATTAGGCGCTTCTCTCGAAGCTCCCTTCCTTTGGCCTTCCCGCGAAATTAGAATTGGTAATTGGGTCACCAGTTTTCTTGCGGACGACTTGACATTCGTGAATGCTGGTGTCCCACAAGGCTATGTGCTATCACCCACACTGTTTCTTCTGCATATCAATGACATTTTGCAAACTAGTAGCATTCATTGCTCTGCAGATGATAGCACTGGAGATGCTCTTTACACCGGCCGCCCATATATTTCTCGGGAAAACTTCATCAAGAGTCGAAACAAACTTGTGTCTGAAATTGAAACTTCCTTAGCAGAGGTTTCATATTGGGGCCGACTAAATCTAGTCCAGTTCAACCCAAAAAAGGCACAAGTCTGTGCGTTCACCGCAAAGAAGATACCGTATCACCTCGGTTTGAGAGCACCTTCCTAACTGCCTCAGCCAGCATCGGAATCCTAGGTATAGACATATCGAGCGAAGTCCAGTTTCGAGGTCACAGGTTAGGGGTTAGAGATTAAGGTCATATCGGCCTCGAAGAAGCTCGGTGTGCTGAACAGATCGAGGCAGTATTTCACTCCGGCCCACCGCCTTCACCTCTATAAGGCGCAAGTCCGGCCGCATATGGTAAATACTGTTCTCATTTCTATGCAGAGGCACCTCAGTAAAAGCTTCTTCTCTTTCTCTTGTTTTATTTATTTTATCATATTCTATTTATTTATTTTTTATAATCATAAGTGCCGAAATACTGTCTCAAGATATTCTTATCATTTTATTATGAGAAAAATCAAACAGTGATGATAGAATAGAATTCTTTATTGTACACCAATTACAATATGTTACATGAATACATATTACAGACGGATATGCGCAATGCGCAGCCTTATCGCTTAAAGCAATCTCTTACAGACAACCTTTGGATGGACAAATCGATGATTATAATTACTTATTTGTAAAAACTATTTTATTTGTAAACCATGGTACACATTTAGTATTTTTTCAATAAATATTTATAAATTAAAAAAAAAATGCATTGTTTCCTCTAGATATAAAACATTTTTTCACATAAGACTGTCTTATAAGACGTTTGTCAATTAGTATATACGTAAAACAGTCACGTAGTACTGGCACTTTTCCAATAATAATTTTAGAAATGCATATATTACAGGCACATTTTCACAGTATATCGTCACATATTCACATAGCCCCTGCTACATTTTAAATAGAGGATATTTTGATTTATAGGGGATAAATCAGGGACATATTTCCCAGTTCAAATAATATATTGAATATAGAATTTGAAACAATCATAAATTATTTTTATTTATTTAACCAATGTAATGTTACAGTGTAGTGTACATTTAGATTTAAAATATATCTCTGACAATAGTTTCGTTAAACCTTAACTTACAAAAACTAAGGTAGGTACTTAATGATATTTTATTTTTACAAAAGTTATACTCATGAAAGAATATCCATACTTGTATTATAAATGTGAAATTATTCTTTTGAGTTCTCCATTATCAGCTAGTAACAAAGGCTAGGCTTTTTACAGCAATAACCGACATACATGCGGGTGGAACAGCTAGCAAAAGCTAGTATATAATAAAAGTTCAAAAATGTTAATTGCTCCCTGCCTATAACTAAACACGTAGGTACAAAAGCAAATCATAAACAATAATATTCTCATTTAACAATTTCTAACATATTTTCTACCTGCATAATTAAATTTATCTAAATATCAATCTAATAAAATGATCATACATTCTTTATTATTTAAGCTATATAGTTTATATTTAGTATCTTATTTATTTATGATGCAGGAAGATGTTAACAATAAATGAAATCTAAGTATTAACAAATACTGCCTTTAAGTGCAATGGGAGAGGCCCGTGTCCAGCAGTGGACTGTGCGGGGTTGGATGTGCTCCAATAGGCCAAGATCGCCTGGAGCAGATCCCATCCTGGTACGCTCTCCTGTCCTTGCACGACGAATGGTCATGGGTGAGAGCGCAGTGCTGACATCGTGTCGTCCTCCAATCCGATTCAAGTGCTCACCGAAGCAACCAAACGCAGTGAGTAGCTGCGTCAGTCAGTAGGAGACGCGACCTCTTTACGTTTTTTTTTTTTTTTTTTCACGCGGGGAATGCTTTTCGCACCATACCCTCCGTCGTTGGGGAGACAGAGGGCGTGTGTGGGACTCCCAAAAAACCGGTCTACCCACTAAACCCCGCGGCGGCCTACCTCGACAGTCGGGAGGAGCTCCAGGAACGCATAGGCGGCTTCTGGAGTCTTCTCTGCCGTACCATGACTGAGGTACATCCCGGGGTGACCGTAGCCACCTCTGGGGCGAGACATAGCCGCGCCTCTCACTACTGTAAACAGTAAGTGGCGCAACAGCGCCCCGCCTTAGACGACACCCCCCGGCCGCACCGGGGGATCACCTGTTTTGGAACGTTTGCAGTGGCCACATCGCCCCAAGATATGGCCACTGCTTCGAACGGGACCAGCCCTTTTCCGACCCCGTTCGAAGGACATTTGAATTATGTTTAATTTTATTTACTTTTCGTTCGAAGCCTAGTAACTTTATTCTTCATAGATTATACAATTTTCATGCAATTTGTAATGATTAATGTAAATTATTTCAGTATGACTAATAAATGTTATGTACCACTTTTAATGGAAAATAAACTATTATATTCTATAGTCGAAAGTAATGGGTTAAGGGTTTTTTTTTGTTTTTTTTTTTTGATAAAACAACTCCCACATTAGGATATATTCTGTGTCGCGGATTGCTTTACAAATACACATGAAACGGTCACAAAGAACACCCAGACTCAGAACAATAATTAGCGGATCAGACAAAGTGGTGTCCCATGTGGAGATCGAACCCACAACACTCAGCGTAGTAGGAAGCGGCGTGGCGACCGCTTGAACCACTACGCCAGCGCTGCAGTCAATAGTCAGTAACATACAGTTAATAATATTTTGTATATTCGAGCAAGGAAACTAATTTAATAATGGACTACTTCTGTAAATTTTGCGTATACTTACTTATATATGTTTTATTTGTAAAGACTCGACATAGGATAAATTGCTAGTGTGGCAGGAGTTGTTTATTCTTTCTTTGCCTTCGAAATTAAGTCGGTTTTGGTTTCTTGGTGGTGTTGTAGTCGAATAGCGAAAAGTGTCACTAGACAAACACCTAGGTTTCTCTCTTTTTCTTCTTTTTGGAAGTGTTCTTCTTACAACGAGTTTTCCACTTTTTATATTCGTCTGCACATGTAGTTACAATGATGCTCCTGTAAAATGTAAATTAGAAAAATGTAGTATGTATCTTTTAACTATCATACACTTCGTGACGTAAATGAACAAATGGATTTTTCGTTTTATAAGTACACTAGCTTTTACCCGCGGCGCTATGTTTTTTTTATGAAAGAGTGAGTAAACGAGCACACGGGTCACCTGATGGAAAGTAACTTCCGCTGCCTATGAAGCCTGCAATTTAGGAGTTTTCATTGGTAAAATAATATTTTCAATCGGTTCAGTAGTTTAGCGCGTAAGCGTAACAAACAAACAAACTCACTTTATAACAATTTTATAACAGCATGGGTCTACAAAAAACAAAGTGATCGTTTTCTGAAATACTAATTTAAAAGACCATGATAATTCATATTTTTCCTCCGTCTTATTATTAGTTTTAGGTATAAATAGGTGTTTAGAAGTATTTGTTTTACCTAAAACACGGCTTTCACATGATGTAAATTTCACATGATTTACTACAGGTTTTTTACTTCAGCTCGCAAAGAACTAAATAGGCAATTTTCATTTTATTTTAGGTAATACCTGTGCTGACCGGTATTTTCCTTCTAGAAGAAATGCTGCCTGTATTGGTATTCACTATTGTCTCGTATATGTCTCTTATAATGTTTTATAATTTATATATAAATGCATAATCTATACGCCGAGACGAAGCATAAAACCTTACGAGTACAAGGGAAACGCGTCGGGCGGTCAGTGATGGCGACAACAGACTACCCTAGTACCTATTTGTTATGGACACTTAGTTTAAAGTGCAATTTCTCGAAAAGACTATGTGTTTCTCTCGTTACTTATGTTAAGAAACGGCTATAGAAAACTAATTATGCTTTGTTAACGGTACTACAATTCCAAAACGGTACTACTTATGGTTTTATAAATTTATCGTGATCGTGACTTTGCTTGGAGATTTATAGATTTATACTTTATATATATAGTCTCTAAAGTATCCCGCGACATAGGATATATTCCTAGTGCGAGAGTTCTTTTTAAAAAAATATTAATTTAATTTAGTAAAAAAATGGGTGTAAATCAGGATGGAGGGAGGGCCAAGCACACCACCTTGCCCCACTGTAGATGGCCGTATCTATGCATGGTATATGTCAATGCTGCAAATTTCTTTTATTGTACTCACCTAACTAAATTTTTGCTAACGTTACATCTGCCCATAACTTCCGCGATCACATCGGCAATTTTTGTCTGATCCAGTCTCATCTTAACTGGCTTGTCTTGAAACGCTTTTGAAGGTTTGCCGGTCAGCGAGTGCGTCGCTAGAGTCCTAGAAATTCACAATATCATATTATTGTACATTTCATCTTAACCCTACGGTATACTCGTATCATTGTTGTATCATTAAAAATAAATATATATAAACAGCTATCACATTTAAAGCACACCTGAACACATTACAGACGGATGGATGACTCCCATAACACAGGATGTTCCTAGCATGGGGTCATTGATCAATGATTTTGTGTGTATTCTGTTTCTTTTTTTTTTCTAAGTGTAACAATAAGGTGAAATACTATGTATGTACAAGGTAAAAAAGATAAGGGGAAGAAAGGAAAAAAACACTGTACCTAAATAACCTAAGAACATTATGTTGTATTAGAAAATTTGTACTTACTTTGGTGTTATTAAATATTATTATTATTATTATTATAAAAAAAAAAAAAAAAATTACAGTACCGACATTGATTGTTCTGATCAAATATACATATACATAACATTAGGCTTAAAAGGCACGTCCCTAATAAACGCGCGAAACAGCATTTACTACTTTTTCAAAAAAAATAAAGAATTCTAATATAATACTACAAAAAATCTCAGTTGCTTAATAGATGAGTCTACATTTCTACCGCGTGAAACTTATAAAATAATTATTTACGTTCGGGAAAAAGCCTTATCATTGATCAAAATCATCGAAATCGACCTTTGCTATTTTGAATATTTCTGCTAATTCGTTCTATTTGAAAATAGCTTTTTAATCGTGAGAAGAAAGTATAGACAATACAGACAGTCATTTTTTTACTAATCCGGACCAAAAAGCCATAATTTTAGCCTAAACATCATTATTTTTTTAGCGAAGTCCATACATTTTAGGACGTAGAAATTGTCTTCCGTAATGTGCAAATATATTAAGAGTATTGTATATCTTAAAGACTTAAAGATCTTAAAGACTTCAGTGCCACAAGAAGATTTAAAGTAAGAGCACGTCCGTGAGTAGTGCATTCGAACGATATCCGAATAGTTCGGATAAGCATAAAGGTGGATGTCGAGTGTCGGACTCTCACTACTGCTAATCTATATTCTTTGAGCAAAATTTAGAGGAGCTAGGTATGTGATTTTATTTTGTATTTTTTTACGATTTAATATCAAACGCAAATGTAGGTGCTCATTAAAATCGTAACTTATTTTTGAACCTATTTCAGGTAGATATAGAAAAAGGAAGAGAAAATAATTATAAACACAAAAAATAAATAAAAGAAGATGTAAAACAAAACAGTGAGTATCCATAATGTACTCACTTTTTTACCCGACTGTGCAAAGCCTAAAAAGATGTCTGCCCATTCAAGAGCTTCGACATAGTAACACAAACACCTTCAAAATTACTTTATTAAAAATGAATGAGTTAATGAAAAACACATTGTATAAAGAGATTCCTTTGACGGGCCTGTTGGTCTAGTGGTTCGTGCCGGTCACTACTACTACGCTGAGTGTTGTGGGTCCGATCCCCACATGGGACGACACATTTGGTGATCCAGAAATTGTTGTTCTGAGTCTGGGTGTTCTCTGTGTACGTTTTATGTATGTTTGTAAAGTCCCCCGTGACACAGGATATATTCTTAATGCGCGAGTTGTCTTTAAAAAAAAGAAAAACGAATAAAAGAAAAGAAAGAAAGATTGGTTACCATAGTACAGGTTCTGCCTAGTTTAAGACCAGACTGCCGTGTGTGAGATGTGTAAGGTTATTATTATTATATTTCCAAATAAATGCCGTAATAATGATTGTTTTAGGAGACAAGAAGTTTCAATACAGGATAGACAGGAACATGAAGGTTAGAGAGCCCATTTACTTGACGGAGGCTATTAAAAAAAGAGAAGCTATATCATAAGGCTATATAAATACCCCTTAGAAACGAGTTTGCTATAGGTATACATTTATTTTGCTAAATATGTAACAAAACAGATTGCTGTGATTGTGTGTGTTGATCTACGACTTTAGAGTCTACATAAGAGATGATTTCAAAATAAAAATAAAAGAATATTATGAAATAAAGATATTTTGACTAAATCGCTGTGTTTATTTTAATCTGTATTTACCCTTTTATTAAATACAGAAATAAGAAATAAAATATCATATATGAAACCCACATTTCCAATATCACACGGAATATTGACTTGACAATTTCTTAGACTTCTCCATAAAAACTCATAGTTTTATCATAATATCCGCTAGTACGGGCTAGTACGAGTCTACGCACTACGTCCTGCGCCCTAGGCTCTACGGGCTCGCGAGTTTCGCGATGCGTGTCAATACATTGCGTGTTTTTTGTGGCATCCATAAATAATCTACAAAGACGAAGAGGTCATGAAGACCTTATACGAAAGCCAAAAGAAGATTGATCAGTGTCCAGTGTCACTATTAGTATACTACATACTAATAGTGCGCGTTGCGTCTGTATGCATGTAAAATATTAATATTGTGGGTGTTCAATGTCGAGTTCTCACGCTTGGGGACTACAGCCTTAACGTTTCGTACAAATCATCTAGTTTTAATCTCCAAATATGTATTCCTCATTCATCTACTAATTAGGAATGTTAATAGGCTTGTTAAATCACTTGAAACTTTGTAACAGTAAAGCTTTTATAAATACAAATACACTAGTTTTTGTTTTATTTAAAAATACCAATTATGTAGTTATGATTTTACATGCATTTAAAGTTTAGATTAATATCAAGTCCCGCTATTAGTCTGACTAGACTACTATAGACTGTGTGTGACGTCATTTTCCAACGCTCCACTTAGTCGCAAGTTGCCAGCTGTAGTAGCAGTAGTAGTACCCTTTTTATTTTATTTTTTTAACGTGTGGAAATCCCCTCGGACCGTCACCCCTCCGGGGTTTGCGGCGGGGTGGTGTGTCGGACTCGGACCGACTAAAACCACACGGTGTGCCACTCTGCGCCTGTAACAGGAGGGATCCGGGAACAGCTGTTGTTAAGACATCCGGACCCCTCCTAGCGCCAGCCCGCTCCTGGTGCGGGCTCCGTCTCAATATTTTTCCTCTCTTTAGGCGACGTCCGGCACACGCGGACGCCGCCCCCTCGCGGCTGGCCAAACTAATGCGGGTGGAGGGGAAACCCACCCCGTCCACCCGCGGCCACACTCAGGGCGGCATGAGGCTGTGATAGGCGGGCCTCCGCCGCCCGGTTCGCCGGCGGCGGATCGGGTCCGAGTGGAGGTCGTCCTCCCGGGCCCTCTCCGCCGCCTCCTTCCGCGAGATTACTACCTCGCAGAAGGTTGCGACCGCGGTAAAACAACTGTCGCTACCGGCCATGGAGCGTACTACGGCCGGTAGCGAGAGATCCACTCCGATGACTGCAGTGAGGCCCGGCGCTGCGCCGCCCATGCGGGGCAGACCGCCAGCGTGTGCTGGGCCGAGTCCTCACTGCAGTCGCAGTGGTGGCAGGCGGGACTCAGTTCCCTCCTAGCGACCGAGTGCAGGTACTCTCCGAAGCAACCGTGCCCGGAAAGCACCTGCGTCAGCCGGAAGGAAAGGGTCCCGTGCTGCCGCCCTGCCCACTCGGCGATGACCGGCTGGAGAGCCTCCACGGCGGCGAAGCCAGCGCGTGGAGTCTCCAGCCGGAACGACCAACGAGCCATCGTGGCTCGGCGAGCGGCTTCGCGCCACTCGCGCACATCCTCGGGCGGAGGGCGAAATCCGCTCTCCGCCCGGGAGTCAGCCACTCGCCGATAAACTTCGGCGAGCACTTCCGCCTCCAAATCCCACGGGGGAGTTCATGCCACCTCCGTCGAAACGGTGCGGTAACCGCGTATGGCTCTGACCGCCATTACCCTCTGAGGGCGCCAGAGGCGTACCCTATTCTGGGCGGTCAGAGCCGCCGCCCACACCGGTGCACCGTACAGTGCCATTGACCGGACAACCCCCGTGTACAGCAGTCTTGTCGCGACGCTGGGTCCACCCATATTGGGCAAAAGTCGCCCTAGGGCAGACGCAGCGCCGACCAGCTTTGGAGCAAGCTGTCGGAAGTGCTCGTCGAAGAGCCACCTCCCGTCGAGGATCAGGCCCAGATATTTCATCTGGGCCCGAACCGGTACGAGGACCGAGTTGACCACGATTGAGGCGCCAGGGGGTGGACCACGACGGGGCCCATGAAATAACAGGGCCTCCGTCTTATCTAGGGCCACCCGTAAGCCCAGCGCCTCAATGCGCCCGACCACCAGGGAGACTCCCCCTGTGGCCAGGCGCGCCGCCTCTTGGAAGTTTGCCCCCCCGGGCTGTCACCAGGGTATCGTCTGCGTAACAGATTACGCCCAGCCCGGGGGGGAAATCGGCGCGAACGGCCCAGTCGTACCTTATGTTCCACAAGAGGGGTCCAAGAACAGACCCCTGTGGAACACCGCACGACATGGGCCGACTCCTCAAATTACCTTCTCGGTCCTCGTACACGACGGTACGCTCCTCTAAATAGTCTGCCACTAGCCGCCTCAGGTACTTTGGCACCCCATGATAGTGGAGTGCTTCCCTGATGCAGCTGAATGGCAGACTATTGAATGCGTTGGCGATGTCTAATGACACCGCCAACAGCACGCCGCCACAGCTCACGGCCTCTTCGGTCACGGCCCTCAGGCGCAACACGGCGTCGACTGTCGAACGCCCCGCCCGAAAACCAAATTGGGCGTCCGACAGATCGGGGCCCACCTCGCAGAGGTGCCGGACGATGCGGGCAGAAAGAACCCTCTCAAACAATTTACCCGCCTCGTCCAGCAGCACGATGGGCCTATAGGCCGCAACCGAATCGGCAGGCCGTCCCGGCTTCCTCAATAGGACCAGCTTTCCGCTCTTCCAGCACTCAGGGAAGCGTCCCGACGCCAAGCTAGCGTCGAACACCTCCCCGAGGCGGTCTGCCATGTGGTTGAGGGCCAGGGGCAGCACTCGGGCCGGCAGTAGTAGTACCTATACCAACCCGTCTGGCCAGCGTGGTATAGTAGGCCAAAACCTCCTTTCTAAGGTGAGGCCTATATCCAGCAGTGGACTGTCATAGGCTGTTGATGTGATGTGATGTGAGGTAATCTACCTAAAATAGATGATTTTGAATGGTTGTGTTTGTACATTTTGACACAACACATGATTTTCTAGTATTTGGATTGGAGATTTAAAAAATATATTTATAATTTTAGGCGGAACGTGATACGGAAGAGCGGGAACGAGTGTTGTCCTATGAGGTCACGCGCATTGAAAGCGGGCCGGTCGTCGCCCGCTCACTTTAAAATTCTATATCTTGGAAACTAATTGACGTATCGAAATAATTATTTTACGAGTATGTTTTATTTTCAACGAAGTAAAACAAACAACATGATCTTGATCCATTTAAAATTAGTGTACCTACCCCTGCAGCAAGGAGCCTTAATTTATTCTCTGCTCTAGATATAATTGAATGCAATTATATCTAGAGCAGTGTACATATGCATATGTAATTATATATGCATAATGTATGTATATGTAATTAAATATACATATGTACACTGTTCTAGATGCATCTGATTATCTTTACAACTATGTTACTTCTTTATGTTTAAAATATTAGACGTAGTATTTATGTAGCTGACTGTACTGTGCGATTAAGATGAACCAGTCACAGTAAATGTTAATAAATTATCTAAAAATTAAAAAACGGTAATTGACTTTCTAATACTATTCAAAGCGCCACGTTCATGGGCGGCAGTAGTCGCTTTCCATCAGGTGTGTCTACATCAGGTGTGACTTACAGCTAAATCTACTGTTAATCAGTAGATTTAGCTGTAAGTCTTTCATAAAACAAACAAATAAATAAATAATAAACTTAATTATAAGAATCATTTAATTTCAAACTCAGCCAATACCTCAATCAAAATGTACAATAAATACTGGAAAATTTTCATCAATACCAGAAAACAAAATGAGATAAAAGAAATTACCTGCGGGAAAATACAGCCAGCAGCAATGTCCGTATGGCAGTAGTGTACGAATTCCAATTTATTTTCTTGTGATTGTCTCGGTGTATCAGGGTCATGCCACTTCCAATCGGAACCTACGCATGTAATAAAAATTCAAATCTTCAAGTAAACATTTCATATCAAAATTGAAAATTTTAAAGGATTTCCAAATTGTCGCTATGATATTTTTATTGCAAGCTAGAACAATTAAATATTATGACCATGACCTCACATTAAACAATAGTATTTGTGCACGCGTATCTGTATCTTAAAAATAATACCTATGAGCAACGCATGGACTTCTTTAGTAACCTACTTTTTACGAAAAAGCATTTTTATCGATTATTTGCCAAATAATAAATTGGTAAAAAGTCTAAAAGGTAAAAAGAACTGTACACGCTCGAGACCAAAATTGTACTAGCGACGATGTTGTGCTTCAGGGCAGAACCCACTTTTAGTTTAATGAATACGATGGTATAAAATGTATATGATATGTATAAATTGTTAGAAAAAAACTATTAAAGTAAGTATTCCATGTAGTTTTGTTGAAAATATTAATTGGTGTACATAATGGTATCCTGCCACGAAGCATGCTCTCCAGTAGAACTGTTGTGGTTTTGCTATTACTCCCAGTACTTTAAACATAGTGTGATATATAAAACACATATGTGAATTGTATGTCACAATAGTAACATCAGTTTTTCGCTTTTTGCTAAATAATACGTAATCCGTATCAAAACAATCCTATCAAAACACAAAAATCGTCACAAAAACGCCTGCCAGTTGATTCTTAGCAATTAATACTTAAAAAAAAGGGTGTCACAATTTGCATTAAGCTTAATGAAGTAAAACATTTTAATAAAGGTTTCAATTTCAGTCATTTCCCGTCTTCGAAATTTTTTTTCGTTCTTAAGCACTGTTTGTTTCACATCTACTCGATTGTCACGGTGACCGCATTCGACGTTGGGATTGGCCCGCACTGAAATCTTAACCAATCGCAACGTCGAACGCTTTCGCTGTAGAGTGAGTTGATGAGAAATAAACTCGCACTTGGCTTTCACATCTACCAGTAGCCTAGAAGTGTTAGTATAAGTAGTTAAGTACAGAATATAAACCAAAGATTACCCATAGTTGTTCCACTGACTTATTGTTTGGAACCGGTTTTACGTCGACATTGATGTTATTGTCATTCTGCTTGGACTCATCCAAAGACTGATTCGGCTGACTGGGTGTACCCTGTAATTCCTTTTCAGCCGTCCAATTAGACGCGATGGGTACAGTCTGTTCTTTAGAGTTCACGTTCACTACAGACTGCAACGGCGTTTCGCAATACCCGTAGGCTTTTTTCAGATCTGCTAGCATTTGTAATACCATCATAAATTGATTGTCAATAGCGAGAAATTCACGAAGCAGGTTACGAAAATTTTTTTCATCATTAATATTTGTTGAGTCCGGTACAGGTTTCTTCTGACTCTGATTAGCTATGTTGTTGCCAGTACATTTTTGGTTAACCACATTTCCACCGATGGCTGTATCTGAAGCAGTGATGATTTTACTATTCGATCTGGAATATTGGCTCTTGGAACATTGCTTTTTTTTCGCCTTCGCCTGTAAAGAATTTATTTGAAATATTAAAACTTTTTTTTTTTAATTGATAAAATTGAATATCGAATTGAATGTAGGAGCACCTAGCATAAAGAGGTACAGAAGTATTTTTACTAAAACATATTTTAAACGATAATTTGATAATAATGATAAGTAATTTTAATATCTAGGGTAAGTTCTTAATTTTAAATGACTCTTTCGTAGTGTGGGTGAGTTTGTAGGTTAGGTTTTGTGCTTTTTATAACTTTGATAAAGTTGTATGAAGCTTGAATGGAAGGTTGATACGAGTAAGGTCCCGTCACGCGTATTGCCCATATCCCACTTGATCATGGAATTCAAGTTCATTTATTTTAGTATAAAACATAAGTCCTTTTTTTCCGTGCGGAAATCAACTGAAACTATAACTGCTATTATCATAATTGCTATTAGGTAAATAGTGTTAACTGATAGTTTCGTTACTCATTCGACGTGATATTACTCGGAATAACCAGTGGGTAGATTAGCTTTTGGCCAAGAATCTTTTTATTTATCTGTTCTTTGAAAAGATCCACAAATTCTAAGAAAAAAATGCGAGCGCTAAAAGCGATCTAAGCTTGATTAATTAAAAATTTAAAAATTTACATAAAATTATTTGTCAGAAGAATTCTTCATACAACTTAATAGTTCTCATACTAATATTGCTATTGCATAGGATAACTCCTACCTACCATAACTTAAGGTGCAAGGTAGGGTAAAAATACACAGCACTAGAATAGTGCATTAATGTTTGTTAGAGATTTACCTACCTTGCTTATATTTTATATTTTTGTTATAGCTTTTGCCTAAAGTGGCAAAACCTACCTACCTACTCTACCTCCGATGTTTCAGAACCACAGAGTTAAAGTAGGTGAAGCTTATTTGATTACTGTATCCTTTTTTGGTAATATATGCCGATTATTTTTTATTTTAGATCTTCTAAATACTCATCCAGAGATAACCCCAGACGTCTTAAATATTATCACCTGATTTGTAAATAAAAATAGAAGACTCCCGTTTAACAACGCGTGCAATACAATTGTATATGGTGCAATAAACTCTAATTTACTCGACATTAGTGACCCCCTCCAAAATTTCAGACTGCGACCGCGCCTGATTGGAAACTGTAGTTATGTATTTAATTTTATTATAACTGTGGTTGTAAATTTAAGTTATTTAATGTTGTGTATGCAAATACTAATGTCATATAACACAAGTAATCTGCTAAACCAAGTAAGAGACCCAATTGGTGATGTTGTCACACTGCGCTCTCTTACGTACGGTTTAAGAATCATTATTTCTCAAAAGAATTTACAAAATTCACTTACTAAGATATGTTTTCTCAGTAAGTGAAATTTGTACATTTTTTTAAAATAATAAAAGTAAACAAAATAAATCCATTGAGCGTTTGAATATAACATTAAATAAAAGTGGGTAGTAAAATATATTTTGCACAAGATTACGAACTTGCGAAACACTTGAACACAGAAAACATTAGGCATTATAAGCAACTGAACCAAAGATGTAACTTAAAATTATTAACTAGATGTGGCATCCAGATGGTAAGTACGCTCTCCTATTTTTTATTACTATGTTTGCGTAGTAGTTAATTTTTTAATTTAGTTTTTATCTTAAAATTTATATTTCTAAATATACAAACGTACATATATATATATATAAATATATGAATATACACGTATATACATACAAAAATATATACACACACATGAATATTATGACCATATAGAATTGTTTTTATCCTTTTAGTTTATTTAATTGTGAATGTTTTAGAATAATAATAATGTATTAACCAATAAGTAGCTGTTATTCATTTTTTATATTTAATGATAATTTATTGTATATTTTGACTCCTTCAAATTCAATATTCTTTCTTCTTTCCATAGTTGGTTCTAGTTACAAGATGGCTTGCGTTCCTTAGTTTCGTATTTTGGCGAGCACAATTTTTTGTAAAAGATAAATTAGTATGTATATTTATATTTAATATTTTACGTATCAATATACACGGGTAGTACATATAAGTTTGCTTTATTGTCATTATTTTAGTGTTCTAATACGTTTTTTGTGTGGGAGCTATGTAGATAATTAAAAAGAACCATTATTAATTTATTTTGTTTTCGTTGTTAGTCATCTAATAGTTTCACCCGCGGTTCCCCATATTTCAACTAAATAGTCAATGTGTGGTGTGACTGAGAGAGTTATAAATAAGGCACTTAATCAACAAAAATCCAGGGTATGACGGTTTTTGGATCCCAGCTTTTTCAAGAAAGATGGCTTTTGCTGAAATTTTGTCAGTAAGTATCTTTTATCAGTAAGTAATACATCAAAAATTAAAATGTAGGTACCCTTTTTTTTTCCGTGCGGAAATCCCCTCGAATACCACCTGTCGGTGGCATGTCGGACTCGAACCGACTAAAACCGCACGCCGTCGCCGGGTACTAATAGCCGGGGAACCAGGTATACCCTAGAAAGGAAGTCCCTGGTGCCCCGACATACTTCGGGTCATCTACAGACGAGTAGACGACCCCCCCCGTGTGGGAACCCCATGTTCCCTGTGCTCCCTGGAAGCGAGCGCGCTTCGCAACGCGCTCGCCGCCACCCCGGCCTGCTTCTGCTAGGGTGACAGATGGCCTCACCTGTCACCCCCAGGCCTGCGCTTATGGAGGACGGAGGTCGTTCTGCGACCTCCGGCGCCTGAGTCGCCTGCGGTGCCTGGCCCGTTCCCGGGCCTGGCGGGCCGGGAGAGTCCTACACCTCTCCCGGTCCCGCTCCGCCGCCTCCTTCGCGAGCATAACTTGCTCGCAGAAGGAGACGGCAGAGTTCCACGCACTCTCGCTCCGCACGATAGCCGCAATCAGGCTATCGAGCGAGAGAACTCCCACTCCGATGGCCGCTACAAGGTCTCGCCTCTGCCCAACCCACGCCGGGCACTCTGCAAGCGTGTGGAGAGCCGTGTCCACGGTCTGGCCATCGCAGTGGTGGCACTCAGGCGTTGGCTCCTTGCGGATCAGACACAGGTGATCCCCGAAACATCCCTTCCCAGTAATCACCTGCGTCAATCGGTAGGAGAGGGTCCCGTGACGCCTCTCGAGCCAATCCTCCATAACGGGTCTTACCGCCGCGATGACGGCGTGCCCGAAATGTAGGTACCCTATGCTGATGTGTGCTTTTTCGCTAGGGGTGACTACCGCCCTAACTTGGAGATGCAATTAGAAAGACCCAGGACTCAATAGAAGAATAAATGCTAAACTGAAAATGTTCAATAGAAGATTTTTCAAAAATCAATATGTTTTGAGATGTTCGTGATCGAAAAAGTCATTTTGTTTCAAAAATCTCATTTTTTAATGTTTTTTCAAAAATAACTCAAAAGTGATTGATTTTGACCTTATTTTTTAACGAAAAATTCAAACATTGAATTACGAAAAACGGTACAGTTTACGATGAAAGACCTCTTCAAAAATACATTGAAGTACCTTCAAAATGCTTTTTTATGAAGGCGTGGAACAAAAAACTAACGGAGTTATAGCGAAAATAAAGTTAGTTTCGATTTTATTTTAAGAAAAAAAAAACCATGAAACCTTTTTCATTACTACCCTAATTGTAATCATATGTAACTCATTTACAAAATAGTTAATTGTAACATTAAAAATATGATACAAAAGTTTGACCAGTCTAAAATGCTTATATTTTTAAAAATAATGGTGAAATTAGAAAAGGTCTTTTTTTTGTATGCCTATATAAAAAAATCTTATTTCACAAATAACTCCGAAAATGAATCATATACGTAAAAAATGCTAGAGTACAAAGAGATAACATTGTCATTAACCATATCTTGTTTTTTTTACAAAGTTAGCATTAGTATGAAATCAGTACCGCCCTCGAGCCCTATCATCGTTTACCTTAATAAAATGAAGGGTTTGATAAAAATAAAACTTACATGAGCTTATAAAATATAAAATTATCTACAACATGATTTTTTATTGTATGTCTAGTCAAAAATGCAACCAAGAAAATATCATATGTCTTGTGCGTGCGTGTGCGTGCGTGTGTGTGTGTATGTGTTCTCTATTATATATATAGACGCTATTATATATATATATATATATATATATAAAATAGCGTCTCCCCCCTCAAAAACTACCCCGCTCACAAAAAAATACAGGATTTAACAATGTAATTTTTTATTTTCACTCTTTTTTTCTTATGAATGTTAGTTCTTAAAAGAGGGTAGTTTTTTTTTATTTTATGGGAAAAGAGGTGTTTTAAAAGTGTATAAAGAATAAAATAGGGATGGAAACTCACAAGTAGTGTTTTAAACTATAAAACTATCTTTAATCCAAAGCTATGTGTATTTTTTACTTTATGAATTTAAAAATTCTTGTCAATTAGGGGTAATTTTCACCCTGAAGAGTCATTAGCACACATCGGCATAAATTAGAGATAGAAGTAGATTTTGAAAAGGAAGGTTAGTAAATACTAAATTTTCAAGAAACTTAGTATTTACTAACCTTCTTGTACTTTTCTTGAAAAATTAGAATACATTCGCTGGACTACAAGGATTACACGACGAAATACAAAGGAACAATAGCAAGAAGCTCACTTTTAAGAAATAAGTTTTAAGAAAGGGTGCTGTAATTAGTACGTTTACTTTTGTTTCTACTCTGTACTTTATAATTATATTCAAAAATAATTCTAAAACAAACAGAATTATATGTAAATTTAGATTGTATAATGTGATTAATTCTTTTTATAACCTGAATATGAATGGTATTCCTGTTAACTAATAAGTTGATCAGTTCCATATTCTGTTCGATTTTTCCAAAATAATGTTATTTGTATAGATAAGTAAATTCTTTATTATTTTATTACTTTTTGTTAAGGTAACGTAAGGTAGTCTTCTTCTTATTTTTTCCCAAACTAGGTTGTGGTCGGCTTTAAGTCTTTAAAAGTAAATTGTTCGTTGTTACCTTTACACTCGAAACGCTAGCCTCAGCTGCAGCATCCCTTGGTAACCAGCCAGAAGAGCTGGCCGAGAAGTCTTCTCCGTCTTCACACTTTTTTTTCTTACTGTTTGGACCAGCCATAACTTTTTTTCTTACAACCGTATTGCGCTTTCCTGTGTAATATAAAATAATAATTAAATGCAATTTTATACTAATGAAAAAATTAATTAGAATGTGTGCGTCACAAAGCGACTACGATTATTTTATTTATGTATCGATTATATCGAACAAAAATATTAGATAGAAAATCAAAAGCATAAACCACTAAAAATGCTCCGTAATAGCTGTAAATATCTACTTTGTAGTTTAAAATTGCCGGCAAACTCAAACTCCAAAAACTCAAAAACCACCTGCATCGCAGGAAATGGTTCTAAGTGAAATTAGAGGTATGAAACGCCAGCTGCTAAGTTTACCAGCTCTTGTTGAGGATATGCGTACTATCAAGGAAGAACTCACTAAGTTGAGGTTCATTTACTTATTTACTTATGATTTATAAGTAAAAATAAACATATACAGTACAAAATACATGCATCTTTATGTAGGTACTTTTAATATAATTACCTAAGTGTACGGGCGCAGAACGATTAAGTGAACTCCGAGTCCGGCAAGCAGAAACCACCGAACGCGTTAACATCGCGTGCCGTTTCCAACCGATTTTGTGAGACTGCGCCTCGGGCACGAACAACTTGCGAAAAAGTATTCGTACCGTCATCGACAAAAATTTGTATGAGATTTGTGCAGCGCCCCTTTAGGGCGTAAAAGTAATTAATTTTGGCAGTACGAACGATTTGATTTTACTTTCATATCGTAACCGTATCGTCAAGCATTCGACACGATACATGACACTTTATTAAGAAACTTGGCACGAATGAATTTTTGACGTACGTTAAGGTAAATTTCGAAGGCCTGCTATCGAGCTTAAAAAGTTTCGAAACCATAAATTTCTTTTAAACTAGATATTATTTTCAAGTATTAACTGTTTATTTTTTGGTTGCAATGCATTTTTTTTTATTATACGCAATATATGTTTACATTAGCTACAGTTATGTTATCAATGTATTTCAACCCAAACTAGCGTATAAACGGGGCCCATATATGTAGACACTGCCGGAGTAGCACTGTTTTTTTTTTAGTGAAATAAGGCGCAGAGCTAAACGATGAAAGATAGATAATCATTTAAATATAATTATTTCGTTGCTTTGTATGCCGTGGAAGTGGGTGCGAGGGGTATACCTGCTAAATCCCTCTATAAACTGCTTATAGACCTTGGATTGCCAAGAGCTTCAGTAAACTCTTTTCTAAAGCGAATATATAAAGCGGCATTGCTAGGCTCGTATTAAATATGGTTAGATATGATGTTACTTCCATACATAAATAAATTACTTACGTGTCCGCGGAACCAATCTAGTCACCTGTTTCTTGACACGTCTAAGCCAAACAGACAGCTAAACCGTTCGAAGGCACTCAAACTTAAACTGGACCCTGAGTGAATCAACCCTATCATCGTAAGCTTATCAGCGGCTGCTCAGGTAAAAATTTCACTAAAGCGCATCATTACAACAATTGCTACTTCCCTCACTCTCCGTTCCGAATAAGCTTTTGATAACAGGTCCGGGGCAAACAAGAAACACATCCTTTTTTGCAACGTAGATAATTCCTAGTGAGGTCGTTGGTTGTAAGTATAAACATTTTAAATAACATGTTGCGGTTTTAAACCCCAAATAAATCGTTTTAAACGGTTGAAAACTCGCTACATTTCTGCGAGTTTTCAACCGTTTGAAAATATTTCTTTATTGACAAGTAAATAAAAGAATTGTGTTTTACACTTCATTGTTTGCAATTTTTAGTCACCTAACGTCATGTTTCGTTTTAATTAGTTTATAGAAAATCAATAGAAAGTACCTACCTACATTACCTACTACACGAAAACTTAAGTATGTAAGTAATCGCAGGTATACCTACCTATACTTATTTATTATCTTATATTACACACACTAGATTAGAAGACATCATTATCACAATGTCGTCCGTTTTTCTTGCGCATGAAAGAGATAACGTTATGTCTTCCGGCCGTCGCGAGAGACGACGTCAAAGAGAGTGCGAGAGTGTGAGTTTGGTTTTTAACCCAATAAAATTGATTATCAATATTCAATATTTTCAGCGTCTCTTGTGATATCGCCAGCTACGGTATCAAATCATACAAAATGGCGGACATGGCTTTGTGGGCTGTGATTAATCGCTTAAGTGGACATAGAACACTCAAGCACTCAATACCTCTTACAACGCAGAACAAAAAACAAAAACTAGGAATAGAACAAATAAGGTCAAAAGTTTGAAAGCTTCCTTAACCAACAGGTGTGAAATTTAAGTGTTAACAATGTATGCAACATTTTAAAAGTTAATTTTCGAGAAATTTGGATGATAGTACAAATAAGCACTAGGGCGACGATATCATTAAAATGAGTATCTTAGAAAATACCAGGGCGGCCGTTGGGGTCGTACCTACTTCGTGGGTGCCAGCGCTGCTTTAGGGACCAGAATAGGAACATCGTGGTTTTCATACACGAGGAGGTCATCGCCTTAGAAGGCTCACCTGGTTCCCCGGTATCGGTATGTTTGTTTTTTAGGCTTTCTCGCCAAAACACTAATCCGATTTTATAAATTTTTTCACCAATGGAAAGCTACATTTTCAGCGAGTACCTAACATGGGTTACTTTTTACCGCGATAACGCGTGCGGAGCGCAAAACTAGTATTATATATGTTTATGTATATACCTATTAAAGAATTTATTTACGTACCTAGTAATCGTTTCAATATTTATATCACGTCATCATATCATATCAGCCTTTAATTGTCCACCTCTGGGCATAGGCCTCTACTTAGAAAGGAGGTTTTGGCCTACTATTTAGAGACGGACGGAGACGGCATACTATTAGGAGGCCAATATTTATATAAATAGACAATTGACATTCATTGTCTTTCCCGTGGAGTCTTCAAGTGAAATTGCATAAATGTGTGTGACTGTCACTCTTTAAAATAAGTATCATTGACTATGATTGACCGGGATTTAATATTAATAGCAGGACTGAACCGGCGGCCTTACAGAAAACCATTGTTTTGTCGTATGAATGAGGTTACCGGGTACCAATGCTCTGATTCCGGGGGAAGAGGGTGGTCATAATCCTGGGATCCATGTGGTTTGCGGGACACGGTGGCATGGTAAACCGTACAATGAAACGGCATGACGTGACATGCTAAAATAGAAATGTGAAATACAGCAATATGATTTCTAAACTCATTGAAATGAAAATAATAAAAAAAAATGACCTAATTGTAGGTACTCGTAATTGCGCCAAATGAATGAAATAATAAAGCGCCTGTAAGAAATGTAGCTGCAATTTTTAACTTGAAGAAGTTTTACTCGTTAAATTCAGGCGTAGAAAATGTCAAAAATGAAAAATTCATTTTGTAAAGAAATTACTAAGGTCATCTACGGTTAATTGTAGGAAGTAAGAATTAAGTACTAAACACTGGCTTGTTCAGAAAATATATAATTCGTTGTAGTTTTTGAGTACACGAATAGTCTCATCATTTTGATAGTGGGACCGGTGTTATCGTGAAATCCCGTCTATGCCCTGTGAAGTACAAATTTTACTACATTACACGTACAAAATATAGTAGTAAATTCATACTAAATATACGTGGTAGAATCTTTTAATTACAAAAGTTGGTCCCGCCATTACTACGAGTATTTTACCAGCCAGCGCCACGCTTAGGTATAGATAATTATGTGGTATCCTAACCTATTTCTTCACATATATTCACTTAAAAATTATATCCCTATATTTTTAGGCCACACAAAAGACAGAAAAATACGTATAAAATATACTATTACAATATACCTACGTTAAAGTACGTTGCAAAAAAGAGTGCGTTTTTTGTTCACCCGGTCGTCCTGTTGGCGAAAACTATTGTTCGACGCGGAGATCGGGAAGGAATAAATCGTTGTAAGGGTGCGCTTTAGGGTTTTTTTACCTGAACGACTGCTGCATTTTGATGATACAATCCAGTCATACGCGAGCATTGGAAATGTGTAGTCTTCGGTTTCGTTCACAAATCAGGCGATGACGACGATAAATAAACAAGAAGAGCTGGCTACATTGCTTACGCGCTCACGTGAGTAATAGCAATTTAAGTACAATTTATTCGTTGTGTCTTTATGATATTTAAAAAAAATGGTCATATTCAAATCGCGCCATCTTGTATAGCTTCAATAACTTCATTTGATAGAAGAGAAATAAATTGTAGTAAGACCGACAATCATCGTTTATCCCTTCGATGTTAATTTTAATATGAACAAACTTTGTGAAAATGGTAAAAACAACCGCGTATTTCTGTTATTGGTTAAACCTCTTGTATGTTAATTATGGTTCCTTTTTCAAAATCACAATAGTACCTACTAAATAGGTCTAAACTTACACTATTGAGATTTAAATACCCAGGTCGGAACGAAGTGTCGGAAAAAATCTTGTTACACATGTTTCGGTCTCGCTCCCATCCGCTCAGAGCGTATAACGCGCGATAAGTAACTCCGTTCTAACCATATGTAAGTAATAGTGGAACCAGTGTTAGAGCATCAGGTGACCCATCCACCCGTCTGCGCAGTCTTCCATTAAAAAAACTTGTTTTGTTAAGCGTAATAAAGCAAGTATTAGAGGCATGACGTTTGTGATTTCAAAGGATTCAAATCAATATCCAGTAGAATAGTATATAATTGATAAAAGGGTCTTAGACAACATTGGAAAGTTCCATCATCCATAAACTGATGAATTTCTGTAAAAACCAATTCTAGCATGTTGTTAATAAACGTAATTATGCTTATAGCCTCATTGTCGTAGTCAGCCGGTATAAAACTCTCAAGCTTTAATGGCACAAAATCTTCATAAATGTTGTTTTTCTTTATGTCTGAGGTACTTACTTTTAAATCAAAATCATATATTGAAATTATTGGTTTTAGTCATAACGGTTTCGGTCACCTGTGATTGTGAAAGGTAAATGCTATCAAAATTCTTTTTGTCAAATTCGTCGACATGTCGACGAGTCTGGCGCTAGAGTAATAATAAGTCGCAGTGGTTTTGTAAACTAGTCACAGGTGTGATTGTATTTACAAATCAAATGATTTAGTATACATAGTTACATAGTTGATTGTGATTTTATGGCATTCCTATGGCACACAGTATAGTTTTAGACCATTTGTTTCTGACGAGGTGGGGCCTCCACCAACCTCACTCATTTAGTAAAAAGTAATTAATGAATTGATGATTGATTTTGATGTTCTTTTTATTAACAATAATATGATAGTCTACTGATGGCGATACATACTGCAAACTAAATACGCGTATGGGGCTTTGAAAGTAATTAAGATTTACAAAGATAATTATTTTATAAATGCAATGTTATTAAAATTTTATTCATTCTTTTCTATCTAAAATTAACTTTTTAATTTAACTATAACGTTAATTTTTAAACCAAATAAAGCACAGTACATACAATGACATTTGATAAGGTTAGTTATTAGTATTTACTATGTCTACTCAATTACTTTACATCCACTTTCCATAAACTTCAGAGAAAATAATGACACTCGAGCTTGGCGAAGACTTTTTTAATAATTTAATTATATTATTAAATACGCAGGACAACAGCACTGCAGAGAGAAGGAAAACTTGACACAAACCCTATACCAACCTGTCTGGCCAGCGTGGTATGGTAGGCCAAAACCTCCTTTCTAAGGAGAGGCCTATGTCCAGCAGTGGACTGTTAAAGGCCGTTGATGATTAAAAAAGAAATTCATACAGTCATTATGACTGTATAAATTTCTTAAACATAGTACTTACTTTTTACATAGCAATAAAGATGAATTGCTTTTCAATGTGCTGTTTTCTTAGCATTTTCATATAATTTTTTTTGTTTGTTTGTTGTTTAGCACCACTTAGCCACCAGGCCCTACATACACAAGCCCAAATAATACATAATTAATGTTATAATTTTTAAGTATAGAAATAATGTAGGTACATTAAATTTTTCCAATCGAAACAAAATTAGCTTGAATTCAACAGTCATTCTCGTCAGCCGGCCACACAACACATCTTATCTGACTCATTTTTCTTTAGTCTCCCTAGCTCATGAACCAAAGAGCAGCGCTGACACGTTTAGATACAGAGAATAGTAAATACTAGAAATAATTATATTAGTAATAATAGAAAGAGTTACATTCATAGTTAGTTAGTGATCCATCAGTGTGAGTGTTATATATCGTTGCTGATTACTGGCTCAGGATCAACACAACCCTGAAAATATATTTAATCGTCAGCACGTAGCCGTCGACCTTGTTATTACGAAATACTAAACTCCTTACTTTTTTATTGATTGTAGGTAGTCATAAAAACCTGTCTAAATATTCTTGTTTAATAAGCAGGCAAGCGCAAAGCACTTGAAGCACTTAATACGAGCATCGTAAAAAAAGAAATCATGGCCGGGCCAAACTATCAACATGAGAGGGATGAAAATGGAGATGGCTTCTCGTCCAGTTCTTCAGAATGGGAACCCTACATTTCCAGTGCAAAGGTAAACTAAAAAAAATAGTTTGAAAAGATTACGTTAATCAAACATAAACGCAAAAGCAAACATACTAATTAATAGCATCCTTGCTTAAAACTTCTTACTTAAAAGTAAGCCCTTTGCTATTTTCACTGTTAACACTTTAAATTTCGTCGTTTAATTCCTTGTGTATGTCAGGATCACGCGTGTATTTCTCAGATTGGACTAAACTTATTGCAGTTATTTGGTACAGTCAACGGTCATAAATGCAGTAATAAGGCACTGTACTCTGTGTACCTACGCAAGAATAATTATATTTTAGAAATTAGGTTTTATTTAAAACAGGAACAATGTCATAGAAAGGCAAAGGTTTTTTTTAGATTTATTTAATACAGCGGGTACACAAGAAGTAGCAATCTACTCAAACAGTGTACTAAGCTACATATCCGTTTACAGCACACCCTTTTTTTCTGTGCGGAAATCCCCTCGGATACCACCCACCGGTGGGCTGGTTATGTGGATTCGAACCGATCAAAAACCGCAAGCAGTCCCGGGTACTAGTTTTCGCCAACCTGGCTTGCTTCTGCTAGGGTGACAGATGGCCTCACCTGGCACCCCCAGACCTGCGCTTATGGAGAACGTTGATGATGATGATGGTGATGATTTAGAAATATACAAGTATTTTTATCAGTAGTCTCGTACACACAGTACAGGCTTTGCCTAATTTGGGATCGAACGGCCGTGTGTGCGATGTGTGAGGTTATACTGTACTGTATCTCAAATGATTGTATTTTATAGTGAGATACATTTTTATTAATAACACTTCACAATAACTAATAGTAAGAGTGCTTTTATTAAAATGTTATTTCCAATAACCTTTACAGACGAAGGCGAAAAAAGTTACATTGGAACGTTACAAGCGCTCGTATTCCAGATCGAATAGTACCA